GAGACAGTACACCATCCACTATGATATCAACAAGTTTTTCGAGCAATTTGGGACACACAAGAACTCGTAATTTTCCAGATGTCGCAAATTTGTCAGCGTTTGAAAATTTGTTTGCTGGCTTGTGATTGGCACATCATGTCGAAATCAAGTATCCTCACTTCAAAATTATTTTCCCTTTTCTCAACAGCTAGACCCCGGTCAGCTCCAATCCTACAAACCGATCTTCCAAAGAACAAAACTGTGCAGGTTGGAGATAACGTGACATTTACCTGTATTGTTCTAGTTAGTGGAACTCTCCCGGATTTCAGATGGCTTAAATGGAACAAATCCGTCACTTCTATGCCTAAAACTTACAAAGACATCTTGAATGGATCATATCGACTTATAGACCCATACTATTACAAGACTGTTCAAGTTAAAAGTAATTATGGTGTCGAGGTGACTATTGTAAATGTGACCGAAGATGATTTTGGACTCTACACTTGCTCTGTGAGCAATCATATCGGCAGGGATTTCAGGAGTGCATACCTCATCAAATATGTGAAACCCACGGTTCCCGTGACAGGTGAGTACCTTTTTTAAACACGGCGCTGCAAACTTTCTCATAAGCGCACCTAGCGGAGTGATTGTTCTTTAAGTAAAGCATTCTGCATAGTTACTAAAGGGTACTTCTCAGAAACGTTCTTACCTAACTTGTAAATATGGTTTGTATAATGTTGTCTTAAATCAATCAATATCTCCGTTTAGCAATCACTTTTCTGCTCGAAAGTGTATGGCAGGGTAGGGAGAATCACTTCTTAATCACTATTAGGAGTGAAACGGTTAAGAACTGTGACGTGTCTTAGAATAACTGCCATCATTACCATTGTCTCATAGGCAGGCAGCCAATCGCTGCTGCAGAATGCAATTTTGCAATTACATCGAAAACGATTTCAGGAGTGCATTCCTCGTCAAATATGTGAAACCCACGGTTCCTACGACAGATCAGTATCAGTTTAAAACACGGCACCGCGAACTTTGTCATATACGCATATAGCGAAGCGACTGTCCCTTTAGGTCAAGCATTCTCCATAGCTACTAAATGTAACCGATGATGACTTTGAATTTGACACTTACTTTGTAAACATTCATATCGGTAACGATTTCGGGAGTGTATTGCGCATCAAATATGCGACGGATAAGAACCTGTTTGATACCAACCTCGTTCCCAGGGCCTTTTCCCTTGGTTGGAGTTGGGGCGAGAGCGAGGTTGGTTCAATGCACTTTCACGCATGCTCTCTCAATGACCTACACTGTGGACACAGCGGCAATATGAGTGCCCATGTTCCACTACTCGAGTCATTTGAGTATTTAGGGCTATGATTCTTCTTCTGCAGATATAATAAGCAGACGCGGGTTTTTCCGCCGAGACAACAGACTTTTTCTCCAGAGGTTTACCTTCTGGGGAGGCGATGACAAGAAACGCTAAAGCGATAACAGGTGCTACGAACTTCGTAGCCATGCTACAGCTGTCCAACTTCAGTCACTAAATTCACAACTGTTACTAAAATACTGCTTTTTTTGAGTAAGATATGTGACGGAGGAGGTTTGACAGAAGTTTTCATGAATACGGCAACCTTCTCTGTTTTGATTTGGGCTTATCCCTTTGAAATGAAAACAAGCAATGAGAATTTTTAAAAGTCTCGCCATTTTGCTTTGATAGTGTTACATAGTGAGACATTGTAGTTCCCATTCCTCTGTAGGCGTAGATTTCGGGCTAGTCACAAGAATACGTACTCATGTTGCCGCTCTGTCCACTTTGTGTATTGTTCCAAATGATGTAACCTCTCGGAAATCCCGCACACACGCAAATGGATGACGCTTTGAGACTTGCTCGGAAAGAAGATTGTAAATAGAATGTTGCCTTTGTCTGGAGTTCGTGTTCTTAAAGCGTTTGCCCAAATTTTCAGCCCATGCTAGTTGTGACCTCAACGGTTCAATCTGCGATGAACCTGGGAGTACTCTTTCGCCTCCTAACACGGAACACACTAAAAATGGTATGTAAAGTCTCAGTGCTAAACATGTGGTAATTCGTAGACTTCTTAAAAAACGCTGGCAGGGCGAGTGAGACAATGAAATAGGTTGAGTCTCTGCTACTCTACTGAGTTCCTGGACGTTTTCTAAATAGCCAAATGTTGAAGCTACAGGAACCTATTGGTGGTTTAAGTATAAAGTGCTACAATCTTCTTTAACATGTGTGGGATAGGCTTCAAATTTTAATGAACTACCACAATTCCTTACAGACCGACGCTCTTAATATCTCCTATTACAATATTACTGTTTTTGTGGATATCGCCCTAATTCTGAAAGCTGGACCAACACACCCAGTGGAGAATTTAAGAGCCGGGGTTTTTCGAGGTGATCAGCGGTAATCAAAATTAACATTTACTTCTGGTGGACTATTTGGTATCTTTTCAGCCAAGTCGAGAGAAGTCATATGAATGAAACCATACTCAAATTTATATGGCTTTGTATGTCAGAATTTAAGCGATTTGGTAGATTTTGCGTTGACTGTTACTCTGACTGTATAAGAAGTAAAGTAAAGTATATACAGTAAAGTAACAGTCAACACATAATCTACCAAATCGCTCAAATTCGCCATTTAGAACTACAGAAATGACAATACACGGCAAGTGAGGTAGGTTTACATTTATTTTGAGCCTCGACATAGACATTCCTTGATATAAGTTTACGATATTACGACTCTTCAATATTCTCCCATACATTTCTTTATATTTCAAACAAACGACCAGTCACGCCGCTTGTGTGGGCTCCCTGTGATAAAACCAACAAAGTAGTTTTCAAGAGAAATCTTAATTTTTCTCTGGTCACATTAGGATCCATACTGTCTACGCCGCGTAACATCAAATTTATAGATACTGCGTGGTATAAAAGAGATCATGGGGATGGGAATATTTAAAGGCGTCAAGCCCTAAGGGGAAATGTGCAATACTTCTTACTTCGAAAGCGCAATTATATCGACTGTACTGTATAAAATCCGTCTCCGGCATGGGATTATCCCTTAGCATAGCTAAGCCAAGTTTCAATGTTTGTTACTATACGCGTAGGGTTTTACTTTCCTTTTGACTCTACAGCTAATAGAAAACAATTAATAATATATGACTGACTTGGAATATCAATTATTCAATCTTTATAGACAGTTATCCACCACGTGTTCAAGGCACTCCAAAACTACAGTATGTCACTCGATTAGGAGGCATAAAACGTTTAAGATGTGCTGTGACGGGGCTCCCTCCACCGTCTATCACGTGGATCAAAAATGACCAGCCTTTCCACCAGTCGGAAAGGATAAGAAAACTAACCAAGGACAAAACTATAAAGATCAAAGGAGTTCGACTTGAGGACCAAGGTAACTACACCTGCATTGCTGAAAATCCTCTAGGTAAAGTCAACCTGACGCTCCAGCTACACGTGCGTCGTGATGAAAATCTGACAGCTACTGATTCACCATCAGCAACTAAAAGGCCTACAGCTGAGCATCAGGCCAGAGGTAAGCAAGCAGGTAAGATCTACAGAGGAGCACTTAATGACTTTGTTCTTTTTGGTTTGCCAAAGCCACCCTAATACTTTGGTAACTGTTCATAATTTGCTGATTGTAGTTTCCTTGTAATGATTTTTGCTTGAATATAAAGACATAAAAAGGACTGCGGATACGCTTTTGGCGACTTTTTGACACTTTGCACCCTAAGCTCAGAGTACGTACATGTATCTAAGCCGGCATATCTTAACAAGACTAAACACCATTATATCCCCAAACCACAATTTTGGAGGTTTAGGGTCTTCAGTAACGATCTCTCTCTATTTTCAGATTTAGCGATAGATCGCGAGACAACGGAATCCAGTAAGTAGCTGTAATTTTTTATGATTGTTTTGGGTAACTAACGGATGAAAGTTCATCGAAAGAAGGTGTGGTTATTGCACTGGGCCAAACGCATTTCCCTCTTGTGAAAAGAGGCAATGAATACCAACAAATAGGAGTGAGGCATAAGCGAATAGATATACGAAAAAAAAGTGACCCTTCGTTAACACCATTAGTCGAAACTAAAATCAAACGCCCGATTTGAGCACTGATGGAACAGAGCAGGAGTCATACTTGTAACTGGACAGTGTAATAAGGAAGTTATCGCGTTACAAGTGC